GCAGATCACTTCTAGACTAAGTAAAGCCCTGAAAGCCACAGGAGTGACTCAGAAAATCAGCTGAAATATTGCCGCACTCAGCAAAGTATGATGAACGAGGGTGGGGGACTGTTAGAATTTAACAGTAGTTTCTTCATGCTCCACAGAGGAAAGAAAAATGTGGCTGAGGGTGGGGGAGTACGATCATTATCCACAGAAAGATAAAGAATAATGCAGGACTTCAATCCGGTGATCTAGACTTGTTCAATAAGTTTTAAAGCGATACGAACTCCAAGTCATCCAGGTATATGCGCCTCAATGGAGTCTAAATAGTCCCAGTGAAAAAGGTTCTGTGAGGAATTGCGCAAACATGGAAATCACGATTTTAAGTCATCAAATTCGGACCCCAGCAGGAAAACAAATGCCTTGTAGGCCAATTTGGATATAGCAAATGCGACGACATTGGCAATTGTCTAGTAGAATTTTTTGAAAGAATGAGGGTTTTTTAAACATGAATACAATTTCCCAGGAAATGAACATGGAAAATTCCTAATGACGTCTTGAATAAAATTTGTGTCGTCCTCGGGTGCTCGGTAACATGATGCACCCGGTGCTGAATATGATGATGACGAATAGGTTCAGTCAAGTTGCACTTGAACTCAGCCTTACAAACAAGCAAACTGCTTGGGAGAAAACACAAGACAATGGTCATGAAAGTGCTTAAAAAGAGCCACCGTTGTTTCAATTCAAATGGTATATAACTGATCAGACTTCTGGGACAGCTCATTTCTGCAACGAGAAGCAACACTGCAAAATCAAGAGAAGAGTAAACATGGCATGGACCACTCTTGGAAGATATCTTGAAATTTTTCTTCTCAGGAAAACTGCCTTTCTGCATGAAACGAAAAGTTTTCTATCAGTGTGTGCTCCCAGTGTTAATCATCAAAGGTTGATGGGTGCGAAATATGGACTCTAAATCTGAAAGCCATTTATGTGCTGGGAATAACAAGGAGATAGAAAAACGAATGAACGTGAGCAGCAGCTCAAACGAGAGTATTCGTTGTCATTACCTCAGTGAAAAAGTTAAAGTGGTAATGGAGTACACGTTCCACGAAAACTGACCCTTCGCTGGACCAGCGAGATTCGAACGGAGATCAAACGGTCGGTCGGAAGAACTTCAGGTCGATGACAAGGCGTTGATAAAATTAGTTGACAAAAGGTAGACAAGAATCGAAGGAGGAGAGTTTTGTGGCGAATTCGTGGAGCAACAAAAGCTGGTCATGAAAATAACGCAAACTCTGTTGCTACAGATACAACTATCTACGAAAAACTTATGACCGAATTCTTGTGTTAACAGAATACTGTAGATGTTAGGATTAGGATTTTCTTAGATGATCATTTTCCCAAAGTTTCTGACCTTTCTAATTCCATAGCTGGAGGTGCATTGTCTGTAGAAACACTTTAGATTCGGATTGGCTTTTGAATTAGACAAGGATCGTTAGCCATCAATATTACAATAGCGGAGACTATGAAGTGCTTGATAAATGTCATCCAATGGTTTAAAATAGAAAACACTTTAAAGCAAAATTACAACTTTAAAAACGGAAATTGTTGACAACCGTTGGGTCATCGGTTACCCTTAAGTTTCTATAATGGCTGCTATGTGTCACACTTGCTTCATACAGCTTAAGGTACGACGCTTACGTCTATATTAACGCAATCGGGGAAGAGTGACCTGTATTTGTAAGCTACAATAACGATTCTTAGACGATAACCGCAACTTATAATGCCCTGTTTCCTCCAGACACCGGTGAACATAGCTTATCTACCGCTGAACGATGAAAGACTTGAAACACAACCGAATGAGACTCGAAATCACGTCCTACCAACCGTAAGTTTGTGTACTAGAAAGTAAGTTCCTTCAATATATGGGTATCATGACTACTTTATGTTACAGTGATGAACTGTAAACAGTCGTCTGAGTATTGAATTAAAGTTGAATGTGCATTAAAACCTAGCCCTTAAATGCATCACACATGTCGTTGAAGGGGTTTACGTGTTTTGATCCCATCGTCAAAGATACGAAAAGACGAACCTGTTATTTAAGATGTATATGATGTTTCAACAGAATTGGCAGTGACCGTCAGCAGGGAAAGATCTTTCACTAATGGTGATGGATGTGAATTCAGTTGTCTACTAAAGAAAGAAATAATTTCTCATCTTTATTACTGCCAGCCATGAAATCAGCAGACATATCTGCTTGCAGGCATCTACTCCTCGATATTGATGTAAGTTATACAATAAGCGTGATCATCTGTTCGTAGTGATGAGACCAGATGTGAACGTTTAGTTAAGTTAAATGTCGGATATTCATATCCTGGCCATCGAAGCAAATGCTAAAAATACCATTTCTGATGAACCCTCTTGCAGTATGAGGCTTGATTCATCAGTCAGTCTCACAAAAAGCAGTCATTCTCCTTACAGAGGGTCGACAGCCGTCAGGAAATCATTTCCACCGCATTTGCTTTAAAAATCATAGCCAGATGTGAACCCAAATCCATCCTTGGGTTTGTGGTCGATCACTGTTCATTTTAGACTGATTTCCGTCGAAAGGAATGGGGAGCTTTGTTGACAACAGTCACTATTTTAACTGAACAAGATGGATCATAATCCGCTCTCCACAACTAGGATACTCAGATTGAATTTTGAACTGCATGAACGCCAAGCATGCATTTAAACAAGTAAAACCTAACCATGCATGATGAAATGACAGTCTGTTGGATACAAACATCAATTTATGACAGCAATGTATTAACGAACAGCTTCCTGCTAATATTAAGTGAATTGATGCAACTGTTACACAATCTATTTCGTTGAATAGCAGCATGTGACAATATTCAATTAATAGCTCCATACCACTTCCATAGGCATCGTCCCATTTTTCCTTGCTTCTAGAAATGTAAGGAATAACAAGTCATGGTTAATGTATGCGGTGCACAGATTCAAAACTATTGCTGTTTAGACAAGCCAGTAATTATTCGAACAGTACTTTCATTCATTAGCGTAAAAGATGTTACTTTTTGTATTTATAATGGTGATCATTAAAAATATTGATTCGTATGCCAAATAGTGTTAACACGTGAAAAAAAAATACCCATTTCGAGCCTCGTTATTTGCATGAATGAAATGGAGCACCAAGTCATGGAGCTTCGTGTCACAAAGAAAATGCCCGCATAGACTAAATCGTAGTAAGATGAAACTATAGAATTCGCACCAAAAGAAACGTTACGCGTAAGCACTTTTGTGACTGCGAATTTCTTCATGATGATGAACTCTTAAAGGAAATGTGACGCGAAAGCAATGACGAAAGTCAAAGCTGATTTCTGGAAGAAGTTTGGTAAGATGTTGGAGTGAATTTTTAGATAGCAAACAAGGTATTCTAAACTGCATCAAGGAAAAGATAGCAATTCTGTAGATGAAATCGCACGGATGTTAAATGCTTGAAAAGTGGAAATGCTGTTGGAATTGATGAAATCCACCCTGAAATGCTCAAAATATTAGGCGAACAAGGCATATGTTGCCTTACACGTGTTTGTCAATCCGCAGTGACTCCGGGGAAGGCACAAGCAGAATGGAGAACGGCTCTTGTTGAACCCCTGTTAAAGAAGAGACCACAGGAAGAGCTCCAGTTATCGGGATCTTACCTTATTGAAGCTCACTGGTAAAATTTACGCAAAGGTGCTACAAAGTTGTTGCGGAATTACCGACTCCAAGACACAAGAAGAGCAGCATGGCTTCAGGCCCGGTCGAAGTACCTCTGACCAAATACTTGCCCTGCGCCAGATTGTTGAGAAATCGTGGAAGTACGCCTGTCCAGTGTACATGTTTGGTTGACCTATTACCAGATCCCACGCAACAATCTATGGTTGTGCCTTCGAGCATACGGGATAGATGACCAGCTGTTACGGGCCACCCGATTACAGTATTATGAGAACAGGGACTTTGTCAGAGTAAATGGCGTTACGTTAAAATCTCTCATCGTACTGGTCTCTACCAAAGCTGCGTTTTGTTTGTAGTACATGGATAGAGTAGTCAAGAACAGCCAAGGCGATGAGTATATCTGTGTAGGAGATGTGGAGACGAGAAGGTTGCTACTTGCAGACAACCTTGTTTTACTAGCATCTGAAACTGATCTGCAGTACTCCCTGGAACGTTTGCAGCCGAGTGCGACGTAGTCGGCACGCATGTGAAGGCGTCTAAAATGAAGTGATTTCTCGTTTTCCTATCCGTTGCTCTCTTGAAATAACGGATATTAAAGGGAGCGAGTGGAGAGGTCTCAGTACCTCAGTCTTGTTTACTGATGATGTAAAATTTGAAGAGACCGACCAGCGAATCGGAGTAGTCGGTGGCGTTCCGCATGGTCTAGCCCGAACGATTTGATTAAAACAAACTCTAAACTCTCGGTGTTCAACACGATCTTCACCCTTATGATTACCTACGGTCATAAGTTGTAGACCATGACTAAAAAGATTGGAGCACGGGTACAAGCTGTACTGTGAGAGTCGCTGGCCTCTAGTTCTTTAACGTAGTCCGGAATACAGAAATCTGTGAGAAAATTAATGTATTGTCGCAATTCTTCAGACTGAGAAGTCCCAGCTACGACAGCTTGGACATATAGCAAATGCCCTCAGAAAGGAAAGCTAAGCAACTGTTTCTTTCCCAACTGAGCTGTCATGCTACTGCAGTTAAGATCGTTATTCTGCAATCGAAAGTTCTTTTGCAAACCGATACCAAATGGTCATATTACATCGCCTAAGGCTAAGACCTCAAAAATCATCGTCAATTTACTCAAATGATATTTAGAAAATTATTCATGTTATCAAGCCTGAAAACAAACTGTTCAAGTTATCTATGAACAGCATTCTGCCCTTCACTCAGGGCATTATTTATGGAAAAAATGATTCATACATAAAAACAAGCAGTTCGCATTTCCATCATCGCAATAATTAGATACTAAGTTATCAACAAAACAAAGAGCGAAGATCATGAATATACAACGCCTTCTCCCGTAGCTTCTTTGACAAGAAATTTCTAAAAATTTTGGAAATTATAAGGCGAGAATATAGACATTCTACACATACCTTCAGAGGCGTTATGTTATTAACAGAGGTAAGGCCGATGGAACGAGCAAGAACAACCGGGAACAAAGAAGTACCGTACAATCTGTACAGCCAATCACACGCGAACATCAGCGGGACTACTTTCCGCTGGCGGTGTGTCTCATAATGCTTCAAATGACTCAACGAACCTATACCACACATTTACTGGGGGAAAAAATTAATTTTGGTTGATGTGAAGAATGATACCTATGTCACTTCCGCATCGCACCGCATTTTCTAAAGTTTCAGTTAAACAGGCGACATCACCATAACCTGCGTTGACCCCTTGACCGGCCAATGGATGTATCCTGTGCGCTGCGTCGCTAAAGTTAAAAAAGCAATTTTAAATAAACAAAGTATAGCATATTCATCTTCAATATTATACAAAACATATTTGAGCGGTTTAGAACTAGAAGACAATATAAACGGAAAACGTAATTATAAAATTATGCTAATGCAATTGTGACCGAGATAATAAAATACAAATCAAAATAATAAACAGAGATAAAATCAGGATATGAATTCAACAGTTCACAGCATGTCTAAAACCAAGAAGCTCCAAGATACGAATGTTCAAAACAATAACTGATTTCAATTTTCCTGTTTAGACTATCTTTAAATTTTAAATGACGCTTACCCAATTAAAACTGCTCGAGGAACAACGTAATGAGTCACGTGCACCAGCGATAACGGTATCGCAAATCTTTTACTAACATCGATAATCACCGGCGGACTGGCTGACTTCGGATGGTTACCCGAAAATTATGTATCCATTTAATCAGAGAAACAAGAAATAATTTAATACCAAAAATTTTATTCTGCACCAAGTCAAGCAAGTCAACAGCACAGTTGATGATGCTACTTTGATGGGTGCTGTTGTACAAAGTGTCGTTCACCGTGTCGAGAAAATCCTTGTCCGGCAATCCCATAAGATGATCTGCAAACGGATTGTCACATGCCCATGATAAAGAGGACATAGTTTTTGATAACTAAATTAATCAGAGAATTTACACGACATAAGAATAGAATAAAACTACGGAGAATTATACGAACAATGACACATTTCGAATGGGGTGTTTGTACGGTTTTTAAAGTTCATTCTATTTAAATTGATTTATTTTACTTGGCTTTATCTTTGCCAGTGCAAGATTAACTATAGCTAAACGAAAAAGTCGAGCCTAACAGCCATGTTGTCTGATGCGTGCGTCTTAAGACTGCAACTCTCCTTGACCGAACCGAGAACTGACTATATCGTGTGATGATTACTAGAAGCTAAAAATTCATCTATTCATAGCTGAAATGTATCTAAAATTTCCAGTGATCTGCCTAATAGCTTTGCCTTTGCCAATGCAACATTATCAGGTAAATTGCTGAAAACTTCATATACTCAAACTATTAAATAGAGGTTTCCAGCTCGCAGCAGTGATCACACAAACGAGCCAGTCATCGGTTTGGTCACGACGGTTTCCAGCCTAAAGGCGCACGCATCCATAAAACACAGTCAAGCACGCTCTGGAATGAATATACCAGTGCATCAAGTTGACCCCAGCTGTTCGTAGGTTGACGACTTGCAACCCCATTTTCGTTTGGACAGGTTAACTCCTCGCTGAAGGGAAGTAGCAAGCAACAAAAGAAAGTTTTTGGACATACAAGAGATCTGAATCACCAGCTTTGTAGCAGTTCAGTGCAAACCCCTTACTGCGCCATTATAAACTGGCTATAAGCATCCTTTGCTATGATGATGTGTCACCACACAATGCTAAATGGTC